ACTGGGAGAGGAACTGGGACCACTGGGAGGGGATTGGTGGGTGCTGTGAGAGACTGGAATATACTGGGAGAGGAACTGGGACCACTGGGAGGGGATTGGTGGGCACTGTGGGAGACTGGAATATACTGTGAGGGAACTGGGATGTACTGAATGGGGAACTGGGATCACTGGGAGGGAATTGGGAGGGGCTGGGCATGAAATGGGATTTATTGGAAGGGGAACTGGGGTCACTGGGAGACGACTGGGGGGCACTGGGATAGACAGGGTTGGGACTGGGATATACTGGGAGGGAACTGGGATATAGTGGGAGGGGATTGGGGGAACTGGAAGGCATTGGGATGTACTGGGAGGGAGGGAACTGGGAGGGACTGGAAGGGACTGGGAGGGCCCAAGACTCACTGAGGGCATCCAGGAGGCTCCTTCCTGGCACTTCCACTACTGGAATTCCCAGAATTCCCAGAATTCCAAGGCCAAGTAAGAGGAGGAAGATCTGGGGGGGACCATGGGAGGGGTCACCTACTCCCATCCCAACTACCACATCCCAAATTCCCCTTTTCCCACCGACTTTTTAGGCTGAAATCCCCCAAATTCCTTGATTTTGGATTTAATTCAATTAATTTCATTTAATTTTGAAATTTTTAAGAATTAAAATTTTCTGGCTCTGGGAAAAAAAATCCCTTTTTTTGCCCCCAAATGCTTCAAAATTCCCAAAAGATCCCCAAATCCTGAGCCCAGCCATACCTGGAGCAGTGGCATCATGGATCCACTGGAGCCTGTGGGAAAATCTGACATTTTAAACAAAAATCATATGAATTTTAGCAGCCCTGGGGCCATGACCCCTCAAAATCCACATTTTGGGGTCTCCCCATCCAAATTTTGGGATCCATCCCTCAAAAATTTGGGATCCCCCCTTCCAAAAAAACCCATTTTGGGGCTCCCCATCTCTAAATTTTGAGATCCCTCTTCCCAAAATCCAAATCTTGGGATTTCTTGTTTCCCAAATTCCATATTTTAGTGTTCCCCAATTCCCAGGTCCATATTTTGATGTTCCCCCTTTTCAAACTCCACATTTTGGGGTCCCCTCCCTCCAAATTTTGTATTCCCTTCCCAAATTCAAATTTTGGGGCTGCCGGACTCCATATTTTGTGGTCCCGCCCTCAAACTCCAAATTTTGTGGTCTCCAATTCCCAAATTCCATGTTTTGGATTCCCCTGTTCCCAAACACCAAATTGTGGGGTTCCTTTGTTCCCAAAATGCACATTTTGGGGTCTCTCCCTCTAAATTTTGGGATCCCCCTTCCCAAAATCGACATTTTGGGATTCCCCACTTCCCAAATACACATTTTGGGGTTCCTCAGCTCCAAAATTTGGGGTCCCCCCTCCCAAACTCCTCATTTTTAGGCTGCTGAATTCCCAGATCCACGTTTTGGGCTCCCCCTCCCCCGCTCCAAATTTCGGGGTCTCACCTCCCAAAATCAACATTTTGGGGCTCCCCAGCTCCATATTATGGGGTCCCTCCTTACCTCTGAGCCGGGTTTCCACGTAAATCCCTTTTTTTTTGGTTGTTTTTAGTCCTTCTGAGGTGTTTTCTGTGATATTTAAGCCCTGAAAAGTCCCCCCCCAAAACAGGAAAAACGTCAAAAAATGTAAAAAATAAAAAGGGAAGTGGGATTTTGTGGGTGATTTTTCTGCATTTTGGGGACTTTTCACTTCACTTTTCAGGAGTTGTTTTTAAATTTGAGTCCCAAAATTGTCCTGGAGCCCCAAAACACGGCTTGGAAATAGGAGTTTTTGAGGAAAAATCCCTGTTTTTCCCTTTAGTGACTTAAAAAAAACCCTCATTTTTTAGGAATAATCTTTGTTTTCTTCTCAAAAGTGGCAGAGTCTCTGGGACCCCAAAAATCAGCTCAGAGACCCCAAAAGTGACCCCGAAGACCTCAAAACTCAGCCCAATGACCTCAAAAATGAGGCAAAAATGAGCCAAAAGACCCCCAAAGACTCCCAAAATCAGGTCAAAGACCCAGAAAATGAGCTAAAAGACCCAAAAAATAATTCCTAACACCCCAAAAGTGAGACAAAGTCCCCCAAATCAGCCTAAAGACCCCCTAAATGAGCCCAAACAGCCCCCAATCTGTCCAAAGAGCCCCAAAATGATCCAAAATACCCCTCTAATCAGCCCAAAAACCCCTCTAATCAGCCCAAAGAACCCCAAAATGAGTCTTAAGCTCCCCAAATGGGCCAAAAATGCCCAAAATTCACCCAAACACCCCAAAATTGAGCCAAAACAGCCACAAATGAGCCCAAAGACCCCCAAAATCAGCCTAAACCACCCAAGACATGGGCCCAAAGACCCCAAAAAGGACCGTGAAAATGAGGCCAGAAACCCCCCAAATCACCCAAACGTACAAATGGGAGCCAAAAGACCCCAAAATCCCCTGGGGTCACCTGCCTGCACCTGCAGTGGGTCTGTGTGTGTGGACACGGGTCTGTCTGGGGTGGGAAGGGGCAGGATCTGGGCAGGATCTGGGCAGGATCTGGGCAGGATCTGGGCAGGATCTGCTCCTCTGTGCCCTCCAGGCCAGGAGCTGAGGGAGGGGGTTTGGAGGGGGCGAAAGTGAGGAAAATATGGAAAAATATAGAAATAAAGAGAAGAAAAAGCCCGAGGGCAGGGCAAGGGGGGGAAAAGCCCTGGAGCCCCCCGAGCCCCCGGGATCCTCCTGGGGGCCCCCCCAGGGCACAAATACCCCTGGGAGCTGCACCAGACCCTGCTCAGCCCCAGACCTGGGGCCACCAGTGAAGGGGCTGCGACCCCTGTGCCCACCCAGCCCTTCCTCGTCCCCAGGACCCCCATTCCCGTGGTGACCCCATTCCCTGGGTCCCCCATTCCTGTGGCAACCCCATTCCCTGGGTCTCCCATTCCCGTGGTAACCCCATTCCCTGGGTCCACCATTCCCATGGTAACCCCATTCCCTGGGTCTCCCATTCCCGTGGTAACCCCATTCCCTGGGTCCACCATTCCCATGGTAACCCCATTCCCTGGGTCTCCCATTCCCGTGGTAACCCCATTCCCTGGGTCCCCCATTCCTGTGGCAACCCCATTCCCTGGGTCTCCCATTCCCATGGTAACCCCATTCCCTGGGTCCCCCATTCCCGTGGTGACCCCATTCCCTGGGACCCCCATTCCTGTGATAACCCCATTCCCTGGGTCCCCCTCCCTGGCACCTGCATCCCAGGATTCCCGTTCCCTGGGTCCCCCATTCCCATGGTAACCCCATTCCCTGGGTGCCCCTTCCCTGGCACCTGCATCCCGGGACTCCCGTTCCCTGGGCCCTCCATTCCCTGGGACTCCAATCCCCTCAATCACATCTCCTGGGCCCCCCATTCCCCCAGAACCCCCAGTCCAACAGGGCTGCCCAATCCCCCATCCCAAGGTCACAACTCAGGACTTTTCACCGTATCTGCCCCCAAAACCTGCCAGCTCTGCCCCCTTCCTTCCCCTGGGTTGGAGAATTTCGGTGTCGTTACACAATCACTGCAAACAGACCCCAAAACCATCCAGATTTGGTACCATCTTAAAATGAATAATTCCGGGCTGTCCCTGTGTCATGGTTTGAACAGCCTCAAAATCCAATTCTTGATTCCCAGCCCCCCTCCCACATCTCAACCTCATGCGAGATGGGTTTTCCAGGCAAAACCACAAGACTCAATATGGGGGGAAAGGAATTATATTACAAGACTATACACATAAATAAATAGTATAATACATTACATACAATCTTATCTTAACTCTGTCTCTACCATGACAATATAATATTTACAATGGGCCAAATCTCTTCTCCCTCCAAATAAAAGTCCAGGAGAGAAGAAGAAGAAAAGACCCCTTCCAGTCTCTGAGCAGCAGGTCTCTCTAGAGCAGCAGTGTCTCTTCTTCTCTTCCATCAGCAGAAAGAGTTGCTGGCTCTCTGCCACCACACACGAGGGAGGCCTCCAAGTCTCTCTTGGCCCCTCGTCTCCAAACAAGGGGTCTTTCCGTGGGCTGCATAACCCCAGACAAGGTCGCTCCACCACGGTCATATCAACAAAGTGCAGCACTTCGTGACGGTCTGGTATCTTCAGGGGATCCAAGCCCCTTCACAGAGCTTCTGTGCTCTGCCTCAAGGTGGCTGCCAGCTTCTCTGAAGCTGCAACAAGGGGGGGAGCCCAAGGTCACCCCCCACACACATTCCTTTGGCCGTCCTGGCTCAGCTCTCAGGACAGTCTGAGCTTCTTAGCTCCTCTCTGCAGTGCAGACTGCACTCCAGGACTCCTCTCAGGTGGGAGTCCACCACCCCCTCCTCTTTCTTGGAGGAGTCTCCAGGGAGTTTGGGAAGTTTTGGTTTGTCCAGTTCTTACCCAAACCCTCTCTCTATCTCTCTCCATCAGAGATCTCTGTGTCTTCCTGCTCAGCAGCTCTGCTGCTTCTTCTTATCTGTTGGCTCTTTGCCACTGCTCCCTGCTGTCCCTGCTGCTGCTCCGTCTGCCCACTCACGGTGGAGAAAACTCCTTCAGCTTCTCAAGTCCCAGACCTCAGTCCAGTCTAACACTGTTTCCGAGTTTCTATGACCCCAGCTGGGGGCTGAGGGGCCGAGACCCCCCAGAGGGGCTGTCGCCCCTTCCTCCTCGTGGCTTCCACAACATGGCTACTACTTCTTCTAACAACAAGTACAACTCTTCTCTTCTGGTCCAGAGATATGTTTATATTTTGCAGGAGCACTGATTGGGTCAAACCCCAAGGGTCACCACCCCCTCAGGGGTTACCACTTTCCTAGTTTCAGGGGGAAAACCTGGCTCAAACCACTACACCCTGTGACATCCCCGTGTGCAGGGACACACCTGGCACAGGTGCCTGGGGGCAAGGTGGGCAACATCCCAGTGGCAGCTTCCTGGAGGGCAGGAAGCAACTGGAATGGGCAAAATTAAGCGGGAAAGGGCAAGAAGGGGTGGGAATGTGGGGAATGGGGATGATCCTTGACCTCTCAAAGGACTCAGGGCCCTCACTGGGACACTGGGGCCAGGGGGGAAACTGGTCTGACTGGGGGAGACTGGGTGTGCAGGGAGCCCAGTGAGCCTTTATACAGCTTTACCCCACAGGATTAAGGATGGCAAAGCAAATACATTTATATAAATATATAGGATTTATTCTGATAATAATTAGACAAAAAGACCTTAATCAGAATAATTTACTACCCCATGTAGGAGCTATAACTACGAGTAGTGTATAGAGCACTAGGAAGCAATATTGAAGCAATTATAGTAAAGCTGGCAAAACCAAGTAGAGCTTGATGTGACTCACCCAGACCAACAACTGTGGGTAGAGGAGTGATCTTGAGGGGCGTCCACACTCCGAGGAGGAATCTCCACACTCCAAGAAGGGATAATTCAGAAGATCCTTCCATTAAAATTTGGGCTTTTACGGAATTGTTACAATCTGCTTAAATGTTGCAGAAAGAACTTTTAGATTCGAATATTCTCTCGAGCAAAATTAAAACTCACACAAGTTATCTGTTGATACCAAAACTGATTTTATTAATTGCTAAGAGATGCAAAGAGAAGGAGGAAAAAAAAAAAGAAAAGGTTGGAAAATGCTAAGAACACTTCTAGAAGCAGAGAAAAGATCCCACCAAAACCACCCTTCCGCCGAGCTGGGGGGGGGGCAGAAGCAGAGGAAAGGTGAGGGGGAGGTGGGGGGAGATTCTCAGCTTCAATGACCAGTTCTCTCTCCCTTTCCTCTCTCCTTGATTTTCCAAAATTTTTCCTCAGGGGAGGTTGTACATGGTTTCTTGGCACGTGGCCCTATTCAGATGTTTGAGGAGATCTGATAACCATAAACAATTAACAGGGATCTTTTGGCAGGAAAACTCCAGCAGGAAGCTCTGGTGAGAGAACTTGTGGCAGAAAGCTGACAGAGAATTTTTGGTAGGAGGCTTTGACAGGCAGAACCAAGGGTGAAACATTATTTTTGGCATTTCTATATTATCTGTGTGTTACAAGTATAAAGTGCAGGTCTGTCAGTCAGGTGTGTCCAGGCTGTGCCAGCTCAGCAGCTTTGGAGAAGTTCTCAGTGGTGTCACCTGTTTCTTCCTTTATCTGGTGATTTTCCCAGCTCTGCCACATCTTCATTCTCAAACTTTGGGATCAATGGGTCCAGTTGGTTCCAGCATCACTCGACCTCAAGAGCAGCAGGTCCCCACTTCTCCCCACTGGGGGCTTTGCAAACAGTGCATTGTTTGAGTTGGTTTTCCCCATTCCAAGCCACAGGTTCCCTGGGATGCCACATTGGATAAACCAGTTACACCAGGGCCATTGGAGAATAAAACCAGTTAAAGCAGTTTTATTGGAGAATACAACAGTTACACCAGTTCCACTAGAGAATTAAACCAGCTCAACAAATTAAACCAGTTCCATTGGAGCATTAAACCACTTACACCAGTTAAACCTGTGACATTAGAGAATTAAACCAGCTAAACAAATTAAACCAGCTAAACAAATTAAACCAGTCACATTGGAGAGTAAAACCAGTTGCATCAGTTACACTGGAAAGCTAAACCAGTTAAACCAGTTCTGTTATAGAAATAAACAGGTTAAACCAGTTAGACCAGTTCCATGAGA